CTCTCTCTCTCTCTCTCTCTCTCTCTCGGCTTCTACAAATGGAAGACATGTGTCAAGAACGATACACATTGCATTCTTGGCTATCCGGGATGAGCTGCGTCTGGGTCTAGTCCAGTTGACCGAGACGCGGCTCATCCCGGAGAGCCAAGAATGTATTGACTCCGGCCGCGGAAGCCTACGAACGCAACGATACACTTTAACCAATGTGAGATAAATGCATCGGAAGATAGCAGAACACAAGCATCTCTCGTGTATTACAATACTTATTTGATGCATTGTGTAGACGTAAAAAATAAAAGGAGAATTGAGGGTTTGTTAGAAAATCAGCTCATTTCGTTATTTACTAAAATATACATTTTTGCGCGTTAAGGGGCCCTTCTTAACTTCATGAAGAGATATAGTACAAATTCAGCTTATTTCTATCAAATATGAGAACATAACCCGTTCGTATCAAACTGCCTGTGAACACAAGATTTTTGTCTCTCTCGTAAAATGGTCGCCAATGGAATGAGTTGTTTTTGAGTTAATACTTCAATTGATATATACGTATCTTTGCTGCGTAGTCTTATTTCACTTTGAGGGCGTTTTTAGTTTTTAACCCAACATTAAGAAGAAAAACACAAGCTTTCGTTTCGTATTAAATTGTTTTATGTGGGAGCAAAACTCCCATTATTGACCATGTACCAAAAATATCACAAGTACATAGTTACCTAAACACTTCAATTCATGAATGTTATAGTTATGCGTCTAGTACTACTGAAGAAATCACACTTTTAAAGGGTTCAAAACTATTGTAAGGTTTTGACAATACAACTGTTTATCATCCATCTACCTACAAAGTAAGTTTATGTCTGAAGATTTTCTCTTAAATCTTAATGAAAGTCTACCAAACTATTTGCACTTTATGTCTTGTGTCATACTATTGAAATCATCTCTCCAAATCATCTAATGATTGTGAAACCAAAAGATAGCCTATGAAATTATATTCCGCATTATTACAAATGGAATTAATTTTGACTAGTTGTAATAGAAAAACAAACATTAACATATTCACCTTTTTCTTGGATTCATTGTCTTATACACTTTCTAAGATTTTTCTTTGAAATATCTGAAAGAATATTTACTCGTGCATCACTTACATCATTCAGGACAGATAGTTGTTTAGTACTTGAATCCTTCCGAAGAGTGATGACTGACGTTTCCGATAACGTCAGGACTATTGTTCACGCCAGAGTTGTCAATATGATCTCAAACTGGTTCCAGGTGGCGCCACTGAAAGCTCTCCAGAGGCAATACTTCTTCCTGTCGTCCGTCGACCTGTCGCACAACCTGCTGCACGAGATCCCGCCCGAAGACTCCATCATGGTGAACATAAAGCGGCTGGACCTGTCGTTCAACCCGCTGTCGGAGGCCGCCATCGCAAACGTCCTTGGGGAGCCCAAGACGGTGCGCGAGCTCAACCTGGCCGGCACCGGCATAGAGCGCGTCGGGCAGCTCGAGACGCCTTTCCTGCAGGTCAGCTCACACTGCCTTCGACAGACTCGCGTAGTCTGTTTGATGTACAGGCGGCTCCACACATGCGGCATTCGGCGAATCCCTAGCAACCGCCCGCTGAATCCCAAATAGTGTGGACAGGTTGCTTACGATTCGCCGAGCGCCGAACATTCGGTATTCGCCCTACCCACCGCGTGTTTAGCACACACCAAAGGGGGCGAACATTGGCCGAACACGTCATCTATTCAGAATTGGGTGAGCAGTAGCTCGCTGCTCGGCGAATGCCGAATGTGTCGAGCCGCCTTAAGATGCTGCATTGCATGGCGTGTTTCCAAAACACTTCATCTCTGGAACTTTTAATCTCGCAAGAAGAGGTTACAAGACAAAAATAGGACATTACTATCAATTCCTGCAAATTTACACATGAGTTCATCATCATCATCATCATCATCATTATCATTATTCATTATAAAACAGCAGGTTATTAGAAACATATTTTTCGATTTTGATTGTTGTATATTTTAATACAATTTGTCCTTTGGGCAGTGTGTTGTACACTTGATTGTTTGACCTAGAATATTAATATTGGATGCAAATGCCTTCAGGCAACATCATCTTGAGGAAATTACTGGATGATGCTTTGCACAATGAATCAATTTGGGGGGTTGGGGGGTATTGACTGGGGAAAGGGGAAATGTTTTATAAAAGTGGGTGTATAAGAAAAGTGAAAATAAAAATTGGTAAGGCCGACAAAAAGCAGAAAATTTCAAAAATATTGAAATCATCCATGTTATTAGTAGATTTTTCTAGTAGATGGTAAATTTTGTCACGAGTAAGTAACATAACTTCACCTTAACAAAAATAAGTTCATTATCTCTTCCTGAACCCCACTGATTTGATTGTGTTCTATGTAACATGTCATGACGACATGTTACATTGTAAGTGACACTCTTGAGAAGGGAGCCACAGCACATGTGCAGTAGAGCCATTCATACCCAATGCCCAATGCCCAATGCGAACTACGAATTGTAATCACCAAGAAATTTGTTTCGCCTAAGTTAGTAATTTGTTCTTTGTGTGCTTTCTTACACAAAACATAAATGTAAATTTTGTGCCGAGGGGGAGGTCATTAGTACCATAAGTGTAGTGCACGTTTCCCCTCTGGAGGTGGCTGGGATCTTTCCCCTCTGGATGGCGAGATCGTGCGCATATCTACCATCGGCTAAGAGAGTAATCCCCTAACAGGTATGTCCCACCAGCGCGGCACCGCCCCAGCCGGGACAAGCTCAAAGTTCCCAACCGGTCTTACGGTACATATGGTAGTGTTTTGCACGTAAGTGTGTGTGCAAGTGAGGTATGAGGATTGGACAAGGAAGGGGAAGGAAAAATCGCGCGCTGTCTGTGGCCCGTTTCTTAGGGCACTGCTCTGTTTTTCGCCTGGCGTTGATTGGAGGAACCACAGAAATCTTCCGATCAGAGCATCCTCCAGACAATGGCAGAATTCGACCTAGCTAGTATCGAAAATCCTGCCACCGTGAGGACTCGAAACTAGGACCTCCCGGCCATAGGCACTGCAGTCGCTGCCCTGAGCCTGTTCTAGCAGTCTGTGGGTCCACGGAGAGGAGTGTAGCCCGTCGCGTGTGCGCAGGTGCTGAACCTGTCGCACAACGCCATCTCGGAGCTGCCGGCGGCTGCGCTGGAGCGGACGACGCTGCTGGAGGAGCTGGACGTGTCGTACAACCGGCTGGGCGACGTGTCGGGCGCGGGGCTGGCGGCGGCGTGGCCGCGCCTGGCGCACCTGCAGCGCCTCGACCTGTCGGGCAACCCGCTGGGCGCGCTGGCGGCCGGCGACCTGGACGGGCTGGGCGCGCTGCGCTCGCTGCGCCTCGCCCACCTGCCCGAGGTGATGCGCGTCGAGAAGAACGCCTTCCGGCCCCTGGCGCAGCTCGCGGAGCTCTCCGCCTACGACTTCCCGCGCCTCGGCTACCTCGACGTGCCCGGCATCCTGCAGAGCCTGCCCGTGCTCGAGGTGGGTGGCACAACAACATAAACGAACATAAAGTAGCTTCCTTGCCCTTCACTTTCGGTTTTATTGCATTGTGTTTGTCGGCAAGTTATTCCTTGGAACTTTTTAGTAGGTTAACATTTTTCTTTTCTTCTCTCCATTTTTCTTTTATTAGTTTACTTTGGATGTTTCGTACATTAAAATGGTAAAACTTCGTTGTAGCATCTATCAACTGTAAATTATATCGAAACGCTTCTCGAAAATTAGGCATCTTCTCTCCTCAAGAATATGTTCTGTTTATTTACAGAAACAAAAGTAAAATTTCATTAATTAATTAAGAACTTTTAATACGCTATAGCCATGCGTATTAAAATTTTCTAGTTTTTCAATACCGATTTTGTGGGAATAATGGTCATTTGCCAATAAATAATATATTTTGTCTCATAATGTAAGAAAATTTGTTTTGTTATTACCAACTGATCAATGCAAAAGGTATTTAAAAAAATTATATTTCTTAAAATCACAAACTCCATTGTTACACAAAATCATTAACATTTAAATGTCCCTAATATAGTCTAGTAATTTGCTTTCCAATCTCAATCGATTACGTATATTTCAAAGTAAATTTCTCAAAAAATACACAAACGTCATAATTGCCCGAAACAGTCAACTCCATCCAGATCTTGACGTTAATCTGACATTATTCATAAAGCACATAAATCACAACTTTTGCTGCGCCTCACTTTGGCCTAAAATGCAGTCACCATTGTAATGTGTAAAACATCACCACACTTAGCAATAATTATCCATGATATAAAATAAAAATTACACTCCTTTGTAACCCATGAACAAACAGCACCCATTTTCAACAATCATTCAAACACATTACTGGAACCCAAATACGATAACCTCTTGGAGAAAAGAATGTGCAATGAGTTTGTGTATTTCCTATACCCAAAATATTTGAAGCCTTAAAGATGATAAGAGAATGAAAATTGACTGTGGAAAGTGTCGCGAAGAAATTGGCTGACGATGCTCCTCATCCGTTGCAATTGGTGTGCGTTGTGGGGCAGGTGCTGGACATCGAGCTGAAGGACCCGGCCGTGAGCAGCGAGCAGCTGGCGCCAGCGTTGCACGCGCGCCTCCGCGAGCTGAGCGTGCGCGGGCCGCGCGTGCGCAGCATCTCGTCGGGGGCGCTGGCCGGGCTGCGCGCGCCGTCGCTGTGCGTGGCGCTGCGCAACACGTCGGTGTCGTCGCTGCCCGCCGCGCTCTTCTTCCCGGTGCCGCGCTCCACCGAGGTGCGGCTGGACGTGACCGGGTCGCGCCTCACCACGCTGGCGGCGCCGCTGCTGGCCGCGCTGGACGAGCGCCGGGGCGACCTGGCGCTCGTCGGCCTCGACTCCAACCCCATCCTGTGCGACTGCAACGCGCGCGCGCTGCGCCGCTGGCTGCCCGCCGCGGCGGCATGGCGCGCTGGCGCTGCGCCGCGCCCCGCGCCTCGCCGGCCGCGCGCTCCGTCGAGGTGGAGGACAGCGAGCTGACGTGCGACCGTCGCGCCACAGCCCCCGCCGCGCCACCCGGCGCACGCCCGCGTACACGCGCGCGCCCCCCCCGCACCAAGGCACACCGGCCAGACATCATGTGGTCCGTGCCGCCCTAACAACAAGGGACCAGGCGGCGGCGTCTGGCCGGCGCCGGGGCGGCGCCGCGGGCAAGAACGGCGGCCCGGCCACCGGCGCCAGCGGCCTCAACAACGACGACACCCTCATCATCGGCATCGTGGGGGGCGTGGTCGCCTTCATCGCCATCCTCATCATCGTCATCTGCATCATTCGCCTGCGCATCACCAACGGGCCGTACCGCGGCCCCGTCGCCGCCCCGCCCTCCATGATCGCGGCCAGCACGGCGAGCTGCACGTGTGTGAAGCCGCCCGGAGGGCCGCCGCTCTACATGGCCCCCTACGCTCCTGGATACGCGGCCACCTTGCCGCCCAAAGTGTCGGCCACCCCGACGTCGCTCAGGCCAGCGTACGCCACAATGGGTCGCCAACCTTACTACCAAAGCCCGCCTTACTACGTGACGTATCCGGCAGAGGAGAAGGACCACCGGTAGCCAAGACGCCAACATAGAGCCCGGTTGTCATCACTGACTTCAGAAGGTAAAAGTGCCTGAAGTGGTCTCTGGTCGCGAAGATGCCAAAAGGTGGGTGCGCTTCTTTTTCATGGTGACGTAGTACTTCAAGACAAATTAATGTTCAAGTCGCTAATTTTTTTAATCATTTCTGGTACAAACGTCAAATATTAACTCTTAACTCTCTCATTTTAAAAATTTGTACCTATAGTGCTTCAGTTTATAAAAGCTTATAAAATATTATCAAATTCATCGGAATATTTGTCACCAACAGTTTCGACGCCTGTCTTGTTTCTTCCGATTCTTCCAGAGAGTGGTTAACTAATTATTCATCACTTGACAAGTTTGAAGAATATTTGCATTTTTTATACTTAAGAAACTTAAGTTATAAACAATTATTTCTGATAATTTCCGTTTTTAAAACCTGCTTTCTATTTTGTATCTCAGGTCTTCAAACATTTAATTTTTCGTGACGTGTACACAATGCACTGCCATTTTACAAAAAGAACTACTGAATAGTACACGTGTGCAGGCTACCAAATATTTTCCCAATGCTTTTCAATGTCACGAAAGTGTGTTCTTATTAGTCTTTTTATTTGAATATGCTATGAACAATGGACACAATTTTGTGACTATCAACGAAGTGCTCACAAGGGAAATATTACCCTACTACAAACTGTGTGTGAACTGAAATACCCTAATGACAATTCTGTTACGGCTAGTAATGAAGTGGTGTCAGTATGGGGTAATCTATTTTACAGTTAGTGTGTATTACAATTTTTGTATATAATAGTTGTAATTGGAGGCACAAATTAACCCAGGTTTTAAGTTATAATACAAATGTTTTGTAAATATCGTATATCTTATGACTTGGAACTAGTCTACAATACATTTTGGCACAGATATGTAGGATGTCAAAATCAATACACTTTCCTTGTCATGATATTTACGATGTATTTCTTTTCGAAATAGTTGATTTGTGCATTGTGGGATCTGTGCGCATTTCCGAAGTCATTTGGATGGGCGATGCTCAATTGTTATAAGTTTACTTTATCTTTGTCATAACAACGAGAGAAATAAATGATTCTTTAGTGTTTCCAAAACATCGTTTTATTCCTTCTGCGCGAAATTTCCCACGCACCATCATCTTCACAGCTTTCAGAGCGTTTTTCAGGTAAGTTATTCGTCCAACGTATCGTAGTGGCGAAGTCATGATAAAGGGACACATTTAATGAATATTCTACTTTATCCTCAAATATAAGCATTGCCAATTTTATTGATGTATTTATAACACACTCATTACGTGTTACATACTCATTACTCATTCTGCGTCACACACTTTCTTTTTTCTTGCTTTTGAAAATATATCTTCTATCTTTGCGTTTAGCAATGCTGAATTTTGTAGTGAAATTTTTAAGAGGTTAAATTGAGTAGTGTTACATCCCAACTGCTAAAATGAATTCCTAATGTGTATATTGTATATTATACCAATTTTTAGATGCTTTTAAAAGCAAAGAAATAGTTATGTTAATAAAGTGCACATTTGCAAGAATACCAGTTAAGGCGCAACAATGACCTTACACGCTACTACTCAACGTAAAACATTTGCTTTCTTGTATTGTTGAACAGTGTTGCCAGGTAGTGTTAAGCATTCCCACTAGATAGCGCGGCAAAAAAGACTAAAACCAATTCCAAAAAATGATTATTTCATGTTTAAATACATGCGGCATGGAAATTAAAGAAATACGAAAAGTATTATTAATTATTTACGATGAAATTTATATTTTACAGTGATTACCTTTATTTGTAATATATAAAAATATGTGTAACATCTATTTATATAATAATGTACATAAAAAAGAATACAGATGTACAAGTTTTGTTTTAAGGAGTTTCACACAGTGTATGAGTTACGAAACGCATGAAGTATCTTTTGTCTCATTCATTGTAATACCTCTTTGGAAAAACCTTCAACAGAAATCGTGGCTTTCACTACTTGTGTATTAGTGCAATTCATTTCTTTTCATCAGAAGTGTTGCCCTCTTCTACAATTTTTGTGACAAATAACCGCCCAGTTTTAAACGATGGAATTCATTCAAATGATCTTACACGCTTATAAGTTGTCTTACTATGCTTACGTATATTTGAAAGTACCTGCAATAATCATAGGGAACTATTTTTGGGTTTATTGATTTTGTGATAGTTATTTTAAAAAAAGACTGAACGAAAACCCACAAATAAATTTGCGCTCTAAAACGTCCACTAAAGTAAAAAACAATTTAATGTAAAGGGAAAACCTCAAACCTGGCAACACTTGTTGAACAATGTAATTTGCGTACATCTTCACTCGTCAGAGTTTTTCAAAAACAAATTATGTATTTCTGCGGTAAAGAAAGATATTTCCCCATACATACTAGTGTAAATTATTATCCTAATAAGGACTCAGTTCATACACTTTACGAACCCATCTAGCGTAAAATAATAAAAAAATATTGATATATACTTCAAAAAAATTTGACTCAATTAAAAATAATTGTTATCCAGTCGTTATTTTATTTATTATTCAAGGTGCTTTGAAAATAGTTACTCTTACAATTGTAGGTATTAAGACAATTCGGTCTTAAATACTGTTATCTATCGCATATTAATATTTTACTTCGAACATAAATATTGTGATTTATTAAATTGTTCCAATAATTTTCATTTGAAATCACAACCTAAGAAAATTATTCTCTTACACCGTGTTTGAAGTGAAAAAGCAATGCTTCACTATATTGAAACTAACGGAAATGTTCCTATTTCCAAGATCAAACTATTATTCTACAGTTTCAATTTAACCGTTGAGCAAGTATTGTGTTAGAATCATAAAATGCCATTAAAATCACGTTAATTTGAAATTCAATATTAATTTTTGAGACGTCCAGTAAAAACATGCATTAAATGTTTAGGTGGTGATTTTCTTCTTTAGAGATGTGCCGTTTGTGAAGTTTCTACAATTCAGTGTAGAGTGGTAGTAATTTTAGAAAAGCTCGAATTTCATCGATTTCTCTCAGCTTTTTACATTTAAGATGTCGGAGTACGTCCGGTAAGAAATTTTCAGTTGCCCTAGGTGACCTCAGGTCCTACACAATACAGTAACTTACATTAATATTCAGACAGCCACAAATACAGAAGGCGTTTCTTGTTTGACTAATTTTTGTACGTGCGCGAATGTTACTGTGAGGAAACGCAAAGGAACTGCATCTTTATTATTAGGAAACAAAATAATACAAAAATTACTTCTGATGCACAACATACGTTTCATGAACACGAATTTATGTGAGAATATGCAAGAAGACGAAGACGCATTAATATTCGGACGCATAATGAAAAATGTCCTGTTACCTGTCGCCACTCTCCTAGATAGCGCGACCTTCGCCTATCTAGGTCAAACGAAACTATGCAGTCAGTCGCTGTAAATATTTCCGCCTGTAAACACCTCATGCAATGGGGCGCAAGGGAAAGAACTAGACGTTCGAGCAGAGGCAGCTTGTGGTTTTCCACCACGCAAATGGACGCTCCTGCAGAGAGATCACAAATCTTTTACTCATGAGCAAGAGCATGGTGCACTATATCATTAGGAGATTTAAGAAAGAAGACGGTATTGAATCTAAACCACAACAAGGTCAACGTAGGAAGATCCGCGAGAGAGAGAAGCGTGCAATTTTGAGGAAAGTAGGAGAAAATCAGAAGGTGAGAGCCGTCCAGCTGGCAGCGGAGCTGCGCGAAGCGTCAGGGACATCGACCTCCCGTCGACCATCGACCCAGCGTCAGGGACATCGACAGGGACCCCGAAACAACCCGCGGAGTAATTAGGAATGCCGGATATCACGGCAGAGCGGCCAGGAAGAAACCCTTTATCGGTGTTGGGAATAGAGGTAAAGACTTTTGCAAAATAATGTGTGACGAAATCAGAAGAGAAGTGGCATGAGGCAATTTCTTCAGATGAGAAAATGTTTAATATTTTTAGCAGTGACGGTAGGAAAATGATATAGCGCAAACCAAATTCAGAATTTCATCCTAAAAACGTAGTGCCAAGTGTGAAACACAGAGATAAAGAAAGATATTTTTTTATATTTATATTTTTACGCATAATGGTGAAGTAATACACAAAATAAAATGTAGTTGTTAACATTTAATAACAAGCCAATTACACGTCACGTTATAAATTATTTGCTTCGAAAAACGATCAGCTCTTTTGATTTCATAGTTCTGCCTACAAAATAACTAAACCCTCAATTTCTCTAGCGACTTCAAAATGAAAAATTAAGGAAGCGTATTACACTTATTGTATTATAAAAAAATAGAAGAACTCTATACTTCGATTTATTTGCAGCTACATTTGACAGGTCGTCAGCTGTTATTGCGTCATCCAATCGGGAGCTTACACGTCACTACAGTGGTGTCACTAAGGTTATGTTATTCCTTCCGATTGGATGAAGCCGTAACAGCTAATTTATATCAAGTGCAGTTATGTTTAAATATAAGTAAAAATTGGTGGTGCTACAAAAGCACGTACTTTCTCGCAATATTGCTAACTGCCCGCTATATTATATTTCTACATAAACCTGCAAAAGTGTTTTCAACCAGCAACTTTTTTCCCGATCCGTGTCTTAAACTCAGATCCTAAAGGAAAATTCGTACCACTGTGCTGCAGAAGCGCCTGTAAAACTCAAGCAGACGCATAAAAACGTAATTACTCACTTTAAGTAAAAAAACAGCTAAAAAGTTAGAATATCTGTTTCAAACCCGCAAAGTCACGAGTTCAATCAGGGAAAATCAGTTTTAGAGAAAATAAGCTGAACGGTTTAGGCGCTAGTGCTGACCACAGACGGACGGACACACAGATGTTTTACCTTTATTCGATTTTTCTGTTTCAAGGACCCGTAGAACATGAATTTTGGCTATACTACGTATTAGAGGAATTTTTTCTATATTTATAAACAGGATTTATTCAACTTTTTGTTTCCAGGGTCCGATGATAAAGTTTTTCTGTAGAAAAATCGCCGTTTTCCGGCTCACGATTACATAATTTCCTTTTCTTACGAAGTATATTCGTAAGGGTGAGAAAGTAAAAGCTTTGTGTTTGGTTTAACTGCTCGAATTAATGAAAATGATTCTTTTTTAACTTTCTCCAGAAGTTCTTAGGTAATAAAAAGAAAGTATTGAAATACTGAAAGAAAATAGGCGATTTTTCGACAGAAAAACTCTTATTGACTGGCCCTGGTAACGACAAAGTGAAAAAAAATTATGTTCCCATATATAATAAAATTATTTTCTCT